CTTCTTTCATTTTCAGTTTTGGGTGGAGTTACACTAACTTCTTTAAAACTCCACCTCTACCCTGAAGCTGGGGGTCCTGGGGGTATCTCCATATCCAGCCTTACCCTTGGGCTCTGCTTTTTGAGAGGTCTTATGTAAGTGGATTGTATCCTGAATTGCACAAATGGGAGATGTTGTTTTGTCCCTCTGAAGAATTTTAATTTTTTGTTGTTGTTGTTGCTGCTTCGTAGGCAGCTTACTTGGTTAACCTCAGACTCCAAAATCATTCTCCTTGCGGTGTGCAGCGGAGGAAATCTCAGCCAGTTGTGGTGGTGCACACCTGTAATCTGAGCACTCAGGAGGCTGAGGCAGGAGGAGCACCGTGAGTTCAAGGCCAGCCTGAACCACATAGTGAGACCCTGTCTCAAAAACACCAAAATTATTTTTAAAATTACAACAAACAAACCCTTTTCCTTTCTGGAGTTTTAGCTGGCTCTCAAAGTCTGCTCTGAGTGTGCAATCACAGGGATCAGTGTGAGGACTGTGGCTCCCCTAAAACTCTGTTCTCTGGTCCCAGATTCTTTGGTCACTCTGACATTTGTCCTTTGCTTCCTTACCTTGTAATACTTCTGCTTTTATAGAATTTTCAGGACTCTAAGTGGCAGTACCTGGGACTTGCCCTAACATATTAAAAATGTAACTCCCATTTTAAGAGGGCTAATTCCTCTCTATTTTTAGTCATTCTCCATTACTTTCACATAATGTCAAAAATTTTTGATTGAAGTCTAATTTTTGGAGCTGGGCCTGGTGGTGCATGCCTATAATCCAAGCACTCAGGAGGCTGAGGCAGGAGGATTCCCTGGAGTTCAAGGCCAGCCTGAGCTACATAGTGAGTTCAAAAGTAGCCTGAACTACACACTGAGACTGTGTGTGTGTGTGTGTGTGTGTGTGTGTGTGTGTGTATAAAATGGTTCTGAGTCAGAAGAGCATAGATTGATGAGTCCTATCTTCTCTTTAACTTGCAATCATAGGAATTGGATTTTTAAGTTTGCTCAAACCTCTAGAGCTGAAAACATGAGAATATACAATCTTTGTACCATATTTTATTAGCCAAATTATTATGATGTGATAATTTCTGTACCC